TTATACCATAGAAATCATAATGAAAATTGGAAACTTAAAGAAAATCAGAATTTTTGGTGCTAAAGACCACACTGCTAAATCTAGTGCTGGTGAGGGTGAAATAATCTCAAGTGGTTCAATCTTAATACCAGAAGATGCTCATAAGTTCATCACACTTAAACGCTTCAGCAGAAAAGTCAAATCTATGTTTTTCAAAGAAAATTCAGGTGCTGCAACACATGATCCTGACTATATCAGTGATATTAGAGATTTAGAGAAAATTTTATTAGATCAATCAGAAAGTCCATTGGCTCAACCACATTCAGATGAAAGAGCTGTTGACGTTTTGCAACATGATGATTTCCAACCACAATTAGATTTTCCATTGGCTCAACCACATTCAGATGAAAGAGCTGTTGACGTTTTGCAACATGATGATTTCCAACCCCTATTAGATTTTCCATTGGGTCAACAGCCAGTTGATGATACTTCTGCTCCATCTGATTTAGCACCATATGATGTTGATTTTGAAAGCCAGGGTATTTCGCCTATTTCGCCCCAAGGATCAGTCCAAAGCACTCCACGACCAAACAGCCCAAATTTACCAATAGTTCCTTAAGATGTCAACGCTCATGGGGATAGTCCCTTGAGTCGTGAAGAGCTGCTCGGGTACAAGGTGTTTTCAGACAATGAAATATTCTATCGTGATAGTATTAGAAAAAGTTATGAAGCAGCAAGACTGAATAATCACTTATCTGAAATGACCAAGCAAGCTAAAGAGGGTTTCATGAATCGTCTTATTGCTCAAACTATTGGTGCTTATCAGGACAGGTTTAGGGATATTGATGAGACCCAAACAGTGGAGGTTCTCAAGAAACCTTTAAGAAGCTTGATTGATTCATTTGATTGGTAGATTTTGAAGGATTTTGAATTCAGATTCCAATTACAAACTTGCTCTTTTTTTATATTCATTTAATTGGTTATCTATAAGTGTATGAATTTTCGTGATTTTAAATGTAGTTAAATTAATCGTAAATTTTGGGGAAATCATAGGACTCTTATTTGATATTTGGAAAAACGAAAGTGGTTATGAATTCATCATGTTTGTATATCCAGTTTATTATTCTAAAGCTGATATGTTGATGTATTTTCTGGATTAATTCTTTTAACATTACCTTACTTTTGAAATGCTGGACCTAAAGTCATAAAATTTGGATTAGTAAATGAAAATACATCACAGTTCAATAATGTGTATTTGAACTTTTAATTGTTGTATAGCTGGGGATTGTGGTCAAAATACAGTAGATGTTGGATGATATTGTTCGAGCACTTGAATGAATGATGTGCTGTGAAAAAATGTTGTAGTGATAATTGGCTTGAAACTGGACCATCACTACTTGAACTATCATTTGAAGATGCATATTATTCTAATGATTATTGCTAAGGTGTAATCACTGGTTTAAAACCAGCCTTTTATGGATAACAGTTCTGCTGTGGAGTCTTAGCAGCAGTAGACGAAGTTGGAGACGAAATTGAAGCATCAACAAAAACTAAAATGAAACAAAATGGAAACTTGTGAACTGTCACTTGAACTTTGATCTCCTGAACTGATGTCTAAACTGATTAATGATTTACCTGATCAAGTGGTTGTTCAACTTTACCATCCATAATCAAAATAAATGGCGTATTCCATTCAACTAAAAATAAACAGTGAATTTTATTGCCACTCCAAATCTTTCTGAATACTTGAATCAACTTTATGGCAGTAGCAACGTAATCCTAATCTCAAAATTGATAATAATGAGCATTGACATCCCTCAATTTTGTATCCAGGGTATTCGAAGTCAATTCAGTTCCTTTCTTGAGCACTAAACTTGATATGATTAATTGGTTTGTGAGAAATTTTAAGATCACCAATAATAATATATATCACCCGGGTTGCTTAACCCTTCCCTTTTCGGTGGCGCATGTAATCCTTCTTTTTGATAGATGAAAATCAACTCAGTTTAAATACTCACTTTACTTTGTTTTCTGTCTATCAAGTGTTCTCAGGAAATTTGTATTAAAAGATGGCTCGATCATCATTTCAACAGTCTTCAATTATGTCTTCTCCCTCTTCACCAAAAAACCCTGAAGAAAATTATCAAAAATTTGAATATATTTGTTGACTATATATTTTGTACCCACTACAATTATTGACTACCATACATCAACCATTAAGGATTATTAGTCGTGATGAACTATTACCACAGAACACAAAAGGAAACAAGGCTTTATAAAATCATAGATCTCCTTGTGAGGATTATTCCTCCAAAATACGTTGTTAGTTTATTTCATTTTATAGGTTTGAAGGAATGCGAACCGCCAGAAACAATTGGAATAGTTTGCTCTATCAGATATGAAACGGGATTCAGACTTAAATATGCTATCAAGAAGTACATCTGGAAAACACAAAAAGCTGGGTTTTATGCTAGATTCCAATCATCAAAAATTTCCAATTTTCTCACCAATTATTTTGAAAGAGCTAAAAAGTCTTTTATCTCAATTTCAAATGTTCTCAGAAATAAATTCAAAATAAAAACCAAAGGACAATTAGCTGCAGCTAGTACTAAAGAATTATGTTTTCCTTCAGAAATCTGGTTAGAGATTGTTCATTATAATATAAACCCAGCAAATTTGATTAGGGTCAACACAAAATTATTCAATTTAATATCACCAATGGTTTATAACTCATTTCACTTGGACTTGGTATTAAGCTCAACCTATCTTCTACAAAGACAATACTCACATTACTTAGAATATGCAGATCGCTATTACATTCACCCTAAAGACCCTTATAAACTTTTTGAAAATTTCCAGAAATCAAAGACAGCTCAATATGAATTTTTGGATACATCTCATAGGAAATTCCCAGGTGAAAGCTCTTATACATCAAGTTGTGAATTAAGCTCAGGTGCAGTTGTATCCATCAAAACAAAGATTTTTAGAGACTTTGAAGATGTTAAGAGATTTTTCAACCTCACAATCAACAATGAAAAGTCTTATTTCAAACAGTTCGTACAAGAGTTGAGCACCAACATTACCATAATTGATGATTTTAATGATTTGTTTGAAGATTGTCTCGGAAAAACCATTAATAAGCTCTCAAAGAATGACGCGCTCAATGTTTTAACATGTGAACCAGAATCATTTCATGTCTTTGATTTTTTCAATACAGAGTACGAGGATTGTATTAGAGAGAATGTCAAACCACCATTAGGCTGTGAAGTAGATTTTGAATTAGCATGCAATTTGTTTTTAACTTCCAAAGACATTCTACCGCAACAACCCTACTTTAGGGAGATTACAATAGCTGGTGTTCTTTTTGACAATCTTCAAGATCATAAGAAAAGAAGAAGTTTGCATTATATAACAACACAAAGTGACCTTAAAGATTCCAATCCGTTCAGAGACTGGGCCTTGGTAAGGAAACCAAAATATAACTTCTTCTCGAAGAAGGAGACAGCTTCAAAAGGTCCAGGAACAGTGAAAGTCCATAAGCATCATTTTGTTACCGAAGAGGAAACATTCAACTTTTTAAGTCAATTTGTGAATTCTTGCTCTAAATTTGAATCACATAGAGATATTAATTGTTCTACTTTGATTTCAGGTGTTACTAAAGTTTTTGGTACTTCACCTGACCTTGCTCAAGACGATTCACAAATACCATATGATTTCCAACCTCAAATTATTTTGATAAATAGATCACATTAATAGACATGGTGAAATATAACTACATACTCTATTACCTATATCAATGTACCAATTATTCACTGCATAGATAACTAAATTAGATATATCTTGGTGATATATTCTTAGTGTTATAACGTTATAACCCGTCCAAACTCAGGGATCATGAATATTGATTGGTTAGTGATAAAACTTTCAACTTTCATATCTAGCTAGTTCCATACAATATGGTTATCAACGGTGAAGTGGTTCACACATTCTCTATTTTGTGGAATGGAAAAGATTATATTCAATTTGAGTCAATAATTACTTAGACAACACTAGTACCATATTATTTTAATAGATATATGATACCTACACAGTTTGATAGTAGAAAAAACAAGAATTTGGGAAGTATTTATAGTTCTGTTCATCCTTCTGATCTCTGTCTTTTATTCAGCTTTCAATTTATATAGCTGGCTATAATTTTATCAAAATATAAATGTTTTTACAATGAGTATGTAGGATTTATTAATACCCGGGCCGTGTAACCCTTCTCTTTTCGGTAACCCAGGTTAAATCTCGCTTGTTTTTGAAATCATCTCAGTTCAACTACTCAATTTTCTTTATTTTCTGTCTATCCAGAATCTTAAAGATTGTGTATAAAAGCATGTATTAATTATCATTTCAACTTCTCTCAAACATGTCTTTCACCTTATCACCAAAATTAGCTAGATCAGAATATCGAAATTTCGAATAAATTAGCTGTTTAACTTTTGTACCCACTACAATTCTTATCACATTAATCATTAAAAATCACCAGTCGTGATGAACTACTACCATAACAGAAACAAGGAAACAAAACTTTATAAATCCATAGCTCTTATAGTAAAAGTCATTCCTGCAACATACATTGCTAAACTTTTTCATTTATTAGGTTTGAAAGAATGTGAACCACCAGAGACTATTGGAATATATTGGTCTATCAGATGTGAAAAATTTAAACTTAAATATGCTATTAAGAAGCATCTCTGGGAAGTACAAAAAGTTGGTTATAATGTTAGATTCCAATTATCAAGATGTTTCGACTTTTTCGCCAAACATTTTGAAAGAGCTAAAAAGTCTTTTATCTCAATTTCAAATGTTCTCATCAAAAAGGAATTCAAATCAAACCCCAAAGGACAATTAACAACAACAGGTGAGAGAGAATTATGTTTTCCGTCAGAAATTTGGTTGAAGATTGTTGATTATGACATAAACCCAGGAAGTTTGATTAGAGTCAACACAAAATTATTCAATTTAATATCACCAATGGTTTATAACTCATTTCACTTGGACTTGGTATTAAGCTCAACCTATCTTTTACAAAGACAATACTCACATTACTTAGAATATGCAGATCGCTATTACATTCATCCTGAAGATCCTTATAGACTCTACCAAAATTTCCAAAAATCAAAGACAGCCAAGTATGAGTTCTTGGATACATCTCATAGAAAATTCCCAGGTGAAAGCTGTTATACATCCAGTTGTGAGTTAAGCTCAGGTGCAGTTGTATCTATCGAAACAAAGATATTCAGAGACTTTGAAGATGTTAAAAGATTTCTCAACCTCACAATCAACAATGAAAACTCTTATTTTAAACAATTTGTTCAAGAGTTGAGTACCAATATCACCATAATTGATGATTTTAATGATTTGTTTGAAGATTGCTTTGAAAAAACCATTAAAGAACTCTCAAAGAATGAAGCGCTCAATGTTTTAACATGTGATCCAGAATCGTTTCATGTCTTTGATTTCTTCGATCTCGAATACGAAAATTATATTAGAGAAAATACCAAGCCACAACTAGGCTTCGGACCATGGTTTGATTTGGTATCCAATTTATACTTACCTTTCAAAGATATATTTCCAGAGGCACCTTATTACAGGGAAATTGTTATCGCTGGAATCCTTTTTGACCATCTTCAAGATCATAAGAAAAGAAGAAAGTTACATGATATAACAACTCAAAGTGATTTAGAAGCTTCCAACCCATTCAATGATTGGAGTTTGATGAGTAAACCTAAAGGTGATTTTGACTCCAAGAAAGAGGCAGTTTTAAAAGGTCCAGGAACAGTGAAAGTCCATGATCATCATTTTGTTACCGAAGAAGAAACATTCAACTTTTTAAGACATTTTGTGGATTCTGTTGCTTTATTTGAATCACATAGAGATATTAAATGTTATACTTTGATTTCAGGTGTTACCAAAGTTTTTGGTACTTCACCCGATCTTGTTCAAGATTCTTCACAAATACCATATGATTTCCAACCTCAAATTATATTAATAAATAGATCACATTAATGATCCTGGTTAAATGATCTTATATACTCTATTAACTATATCAATGTACCCATTATATCACACTGTAGGTAGCTAATTTGGATATTTCCTTGAGTAATATATGCTCGTAGTGTTATCACTCATCTAAACGCAAGGTATCGTGAGGTTGATTGGCTAGTCGGTAAACTTTCAATTTTGATATAGCTAATTTCTATACAGTCATCACTAATGAAGTGGCACACATACTATTTTAGACAATAATTTTTTAGACTACAGAAGCGTTCATTATGTATATAAGTGTGTATGATACTTTCACAATTTGATACTAAAAAGATCCACGATTTTGGGTTCGACAATGAAGCCTGACGTGTTGACGACATCTGTCATTATCTTCAAGAACAAGGTTAATGAAAATCATTAACGAACAACAAACCACAAAAAAAATTGGTATTATCCAAAACGAAATAATATTTTCTGAAAACTTAAGATCAATATGACATTCACTTCCCTCAACAAAATCGCAAAGGCTTATCTTTTTACTTGAAGGTTCAGTGTCTCCCTTATTGACAGTTGTATACTTTGTGTAATAAATTGCCAGAGGTCTTATTTCGTAGTCATTTAGTACTTCATCATGAACAGCAGCTTGCTCATCTGTTTCTCTATATCCTTCTGATGGTGTAGCAATCTCTTCAACATCAATAGTTGACTCTCTTGTCAGATTAGTTCCTGGAGTTGTGGGAGAGCTATCAACTGACTCAACCTCATCATCATTAATATGGGCTCTGACATTAATTTCACCATGATTCACAACTTTAATACCTCCTTCTTTGAGAAAATTAAACCTAACAAAAGCTCTATTACCATATCGATCTCTTTCTCTTGACACCATCGAGTAACTTTGATTGACACCATTTCCCTTCACTACTGATATATTTGGCTCTGGTTTTGCCTCAAACTTATAAATGTCTAAATTGAAGTTGATCTTCTTCTTTGGAGAATTAACTTGAGCTTTATTAAAGCTAACTTCTAAAGCCTTGTGGTCATTTTCTTTCAGTCTATCTTCAGCACGAAACTTCTGACCTTCTTCTAACACAATTTCAATAGGTTTTGAATGTTCCATCATATCAATTATTAATGATAAGCTATGAAGGATATATGAACCTGATTTGTGTGAATTTTTGTGAATTTTCAAAAGCTTTATACCCTCTGAACTTTAATACCATTAATATTAGTAAAAACCTCAAAGTCCTTAAATTCCCCTTTAAGTAATAATGATCTGCATAATCTTAAATTGTATCTATACGATGTCGCATTACCTGTTAAAAAGATAAGTGAACAAGAGTTCTAAATAAGTAACGTATTTTGATATGTTTACTATTTGCTCCTTCATATGCAATGTGTATTAATTCAATCCACATATTGGTTCTTGGTTTAATTCAACAAGCTTTGTTTATGTTGAAAGTATAATTATAGGTTACCTAGGATAATGAAATTTCCTGCATTATCTTACAGGTCTAGAACCTTGAACAATACAAAACGCAAATACAAAAAAATTTTATATTAGATTAAGAATAGGAGTCGGCTCTCCCTTGATAAATCATCAGAAAACTCCACACAACTCATTTGATTCAACATTATATATGAACAGATTAGAATCAGATAAATAATGAGTGAACATTCAAACTCCATTGAAATTGTGTTAAATGAAAATCAAAGGCTTCGTGCTGAGGATAAATCATCCTGTAATATCCAAAGATATTTATCAGTTAAGTTTCCCAAGTTACCAAATGCTCCCTTGAAAGACTTCAAAACTATGCCTTTCGTTGTTCAAAACAAAATGAGTTTGGGAGATATATACATTTTGAATGAAACCAATCAAAGCTATAAAGTTGTTTCGAAAGATCAAGATCAATATGGAAACAGAGCTTTTTTCCACTTCTATTTTGATCAATATAAAGGAATTAAAATTATAGACCATGGCTCTATTAGTTTAGAGTGTGAACATGATGAAATTCCTGGAGCAGAAGAAATAGAAAGTGATGTTACAACTCCGTTCTCTGAATTAACAAGAGAAACTACTTTGGATACTGAAGTAGTTGACACTCCATTATCAAGTAATACATCCCAAGGAACAGCTACTAATGAAATTTCAAGAGTTTTAGCTTCAAAATCTATCTACAACCCACGTTATACTTCAATAAAACCTTTTGCAATTTACTATACAAACCAAGAATTAAATATGGGAGGATATGAAAAAACCATGTATGATTGTATTGAAGGTAGCTCAAAAAGTGAGAAACTTGAAAAAATATTTATTGGAAGCTCAGTGTATACATCACCTCCTACTCGAGATGATCCACGCCCTGTCGCATTTTATATTTTTATCCTAATCATATTAATTATCATAGCAGATGGAAGAAAATCTTTATAATTTTTGATGTTTTGAAAATTTTGGATTCCCTACATTTCAATGAATTTTTTTCTAATGTAAAGTGTATACTTGTTATAATCAACATGTTTTCAAAATATATGAAAAAATATTAAAGTAGCCTATCCTTGAAATGGGGATCATATCACAAATTGGCTTCCCAGGGTATTTGACACCTCTGATGATTTAATAATTAAATTAATACTATTGATCAGTCATTAGCTCCAGTCAATTTCACCAATTCAAAATAACCTTTCCCTCTTTCTATATCATTAACCTTCTAACACCATCAATTTTCCATTCTTTTAATCCATTTGAATATCTACAACCTAATAACCTTTTCCCCGTTATTGGACATCTACCACCAATTTTTTCGTCACCATCAATTAAAAATTTCATAATACAAGTATAACAAAAAACATAACCAGTTTCAATGATTGCAGGATTATGTATAACATCTTTACAAATTGGACAATTTGAAGATTTTGTTATGGTCTTAAGGGTTTTTGGTGGTGGGATATCTTTATCAATTATATTTTGTTGATTTTTAGAAATTTTTGATGCAAATTCTGATGAATTCCACCATTCAAGAAATTTTAATAGGAATATAGCTAGTGGGAAAATTGTTGTTGAAAGTTTCATTATTAAAGATTTTATTGGTTTTTGATATACTTGAATCATACTTGTTAAATGTTGACCAAATGATGGTGGTCTTGAATTGGTTTTGGTTTTGGAGGTAGTTGTAGTATTGGTTTGAGGTTTTGTTGTTGTATCATGTAAATCATAATCAAATTTTGATAATCTTGAATATTCAATTTTGAGTAAATAATCAATAAATGATGGAGATTTTGTACGTCCTGAGAGATACAGTATTTGGAAAATAACATTCAAGAGTTTTATAGTGGATAAAATATATGGATATATCTTGACAAAATAAATTTTTAACTTGTTAATTAACGTTGTTGGTTTTAAAGTTTTCAATAATATCTTTGCATGTAATCTTTCATATAAGACATCTAATTTTTCATTGATATAAGCACCACCAACCAAGTTGATTAAAGAACCATATATTTGCCATTGAGATAATCTTTTCTTTTGTTCCACTATATCAAATATCTTGTGATTTGAATCCTTAATATCAATTTTATTTAAAGTTTGTCTTTTCAATCCATAAAAATTTTCTGTAAAGCTTGAATTCCAACTTTTTAAATAATGATGTTCAATTAATCCACGTATAACCAAGTTTAATTCATCAAAATTCATAGCTAATTTCAAAAATAAAGATGGATATTTTTGAGCATAATGAACAACAATGTATCGGAGAGAAGGGGATAATAAATGTTCCAATTCATTTGATGAGATGATTTCAAAGATGGTGGGTGTTGAGTCTAATGACCTTGAATCTAACGATGAATAATAATCCATTGTGAACTGATATCTTGTTGACTAAAGTTTTCCTTAAGTTGATGTTGACCGAATTTGTTTATTGATTTTACTTTGTTTATTGATTTTACTTCTCCAGGTTTTTTTTGACTATGGAATTGATGATTTTTATGGGAAAATGTGGTAAGTGCACGCTAAAAGTTCAGTCACGTGATATCAAAAACTTATAATTGAAATTAAAGAAAAGTTTTGTATGTGATGATGATAGTTTTATTGGTTTTTTATTGTCTGTGAAAGTTTAGCTTTATAACGGTACTGATATTTTACTGATATCTCTAGTTTTGAAATTTACTGATTTTGAAATAATTGCAATTTTAAAGCTAAAAATCCAAAATTAAAGTAACATATATTAATGAAATATATATATGAATTTATATATATATATATATATGATCATTAATTATATAGATACTTCGTGCGTACGTGTGTCAACCTGTATATAAATATGCTGGATATTTCATGGTATATAGATAAATACTTCAATTTGCAATTTTGAGTACGTTGTTGTCCGCGAATATTAATATTGGCCGGAAATAACGCAAATACACACATTGATAATTTGAAATTCGCTGTATATTGCAATTCAACGGCATCTCAAATCACATTCTTAAATCGTTTCATAGTTGGTGGTGATAACGGTTATAAAGCTAAGTATTAATCCAGGTTCTATAAAGAGATTATTGCAAATGTAAACAAGATGATTATAAACTGTGGTCGGGTTTTAAAGGATCTCCATAAACACCGAAAACAAGATTAGTATATAAATCAATCAATTTGTCCAACTTGATATTCTTGGTTTAAGGTTAAGATGTCACTATATCAATCAGTCAATTATTATACTAAAAACAATGTCAGGAAAAGTTTATTTCATCTCAGGTGCCAATCGTGGTATTGGTTATGAATTCGCTAAACAATTATCATCAATCCCTTCAAATACCGTTATTGCAACAGCTCGTGATCCTGCTTCAGCTACTGATTTACAAGAACTAGCTAATTCAAATCCTAAGGTTCATATCGTTAAACTTGATGTTTCTGATGAGAGTTCATTTGATCAATTAGATGATCAATTAAAAGATATTGCAGCAAATGGTATTGATATCTTAATTTCAAATGCTGGTGTTGCACAATCTTATAAAACTTTATTAGAAACTCCAAAGGAAAAATTCATTCATCACTATAATGTTAATGCACTTGGTCCAATATTCTTGGTTAAAGCTCTTTACAAGTATTTACAAAAATCTCAAACTAAACAAATTGCTTTCGTTTCAAGTTTAGCTGGTGTTATTAATGATTTTTTCCCATTTAGTACATCTGCTTATGGTCAATCAAAAGCTGCTTTGAATTATACAGTTAAAGAATTCAGTTTTGAATTAGAATCTGAAGGATTCACTGTGGTTGCTTTACATCCAGGTACTGTTTCTACTGATTTATTGAAAACTGCATCTGCTTGGTATGAAGAAAATGTACCAGGTTTTGCTGAAGCTTTAAGTAATTATGAGACTTTAACTCCTGAAGAAAGTGCAAAAAGACAAATTAAAATTATTAATAATTTATCAAAATAACAAAATGGTAAATTTATTCATGAAAATGGTCATGAAATTTCCTTTTAGATATTAGTATATAGATTTTTAAGCGCTACATATGCCTTTATAAGAAAATAATAAACATGAATTATCAAGAATGACTGAAGCTTATAGACAAAGTCATGTAGCCATGTAAAACTAAAAACTCAATATTGATTGTCTGGGGATATGTCATAAAAATATATGGTATTGTAGTTTCGATAATATCAAAGTTCAACCAATAAATTGTATATATGACTATCCAATGAAATAGTCCGTTTATGGTAATCATAAAAAGGAGAACAGCATGAATCAACTGAATTATATACTCCTTATTATCCATGATATACTTCGACATATATTCCAACTTCCAATCAAACTCATCATAATTCTATTCCAAAATATTTCTAAAAAATAAAGGTAGAAAAATGAACGATGTAATATGAAGTCTTTTCCAAATACAACATAGATCCAGATCAAATTATCTTATCCATTATCACACTAAGTCTGTATGAAAAACATCACAAATATTACTGATTTCAAGATTTCAAGAATTCAAGTTACAAAAGTTTTTTGAAATTTTCAAATATAAAAATTTAAAAATTACAAGCAAGATTAGTCATACATTATATAATTGCAAATGAAGAATCAGCTTTGAAGCAATATTTAAATTAATTCTTTTTTTACTCCTTGATTGTTATTTACTGATTTATTGTACTATGGACCGCTTTTTTCATTGAGCCCATTACTCTCTCATTCCTGACAACAGCCAAATTCGACCATATTCCCATATGTATAATTTGGCAGTGTGTGTTATACCTCATGCATGAATGGGGATGTCAGCAAAACTATATACATGCTATTTTAAAAATTCATATAGCAGTAAATGGTGATTTCAACCAAGAGTTTTTAAAATGAAGCATTTATATCAAAATACTTATCTCATGTTAACTGTTTTATTCTGTTTCGACTAGTATATATACGTAACTGGTTGATTCTACAGATGAACTGATTAATACATGAGATATATTCCTTCTTTTCAAAGATGGTTTGTCATCTACTGCATGTAGTTTAATGACACTAGAATGATAGCTACAGTGTAACTAGGTCAAATTCTTCGCAAACAATGTGATCAGCTATAAATTATACATCGAGACCATTAATATGACCAAACAAATCTAAACTTCCATTAAAACCCCACTATGTGTTATTCTTGTATAAAATCAATCCACATCAATATTTTCCAGAATTTTGAAACGTACAATCTTTACTCCTGTAGGTATTTTACAATTCTTTATTTTGATTGATTTCAATTTTGGGTAGATTCTATTTGTAAATGGTCCGACTGATAGAATGTTGTAATTTCTAATGGTTAATTCTGTCAATTTTGGTGCTTTAACTTGTTTGAACTCTAGTTTTTTAATGAAAGCACCGTTATTGATCGATTCCAAAGTTTGCAGTCTTGGAAACCGACATCTTGATAGTATTATTGAACGTCCGGGAATTGAAAGCTTTAAGGTTTCAAGATTTTTGAAAACTGAATTAGCAATTGTTAAAGGATTAGGCCTTATATATCCAACAGTTTGATCATAAGAAATAATTAATTCAGCAAGTTCAGGAAAGTTTTGACTGATGTATTCATGAAGGTTGGGTGTATAGATTCTACATCCAAGCTTTAAGAACTTGAGATGGGGAGCATTGAATCTAAAAGGTGCTGTTTTTTCAGAAATCACTCCAAGTGTACCATCACAATATCCGTCTATATGAAGACTTGTCAACGATGGAAATTGAGCAGTTGTATCTGGTTCTAAGGATAGAGAGGCACACTTAACTTTTAGCAGTTCTAATTGCTCTAAATTAACCATTTCCAACCCTCGTAGAATATGTTTGTATCCTGTGACTGATCCTTTCTTAGCCATTCTCAGAAAAGACCAACAGTTGTTTTTGAATTTCTTCTTATCTTCATAATAAGTGAATTTTGGCATTTTTTTAACATTAATTTTAAAATCCTCCAGATTAGTAATTTTTTCAAAATTGTCAATGATACAAGAATTTGCAGAGATTGTAAAATTCTCAATATTTTTTGCCCTAAAACCATCAATAATAACATCAGTGTCTAATGAAAAAATTGAAAATTTCTTTAGTGAGTCTGCTGTAAAGTTTTGGAAATTGATACAATAAGCTATTTGATTTCTCACATTGAACTCTTTCAAGTTTGGGAAATCCAAACCAATCATTGAAATGGGATTTGAGTACATATAACTTGATGAGTACATATAACTTGATGCTTCAAGCGATAAGTATTCAAATTTTTGAGCCCATTGAGAATTGAATAACTTTTGTGATTGTAAATCCGTAGAATATGAGCTAGGTGGAATAATTTTGAGGTTCTTGGGAAAGACAAATGATTTCGGAAATGTAAATTCTTCATGTAATCCCACAAGGATTAGGTTTTCCAATGCTGTACAATACTCAATATTAAAATTAAAAGTCTTACTGCCTTTGTTGGATATATGATACTCAAGTTTTCTTAATTTCCGAATATTAAATTTAACTTTTGACGTATTTAAAAAGCTGTAATCGGATGAAGATAAAAATTCAGCATCAGGAAAATTAATATGTGAAATTTTATGATTAAAACCAGAAGAGCAAAAGTTATTCAGTATTCTAGCAGGATTATATGGGGTGTGAACTTTCAAACGATCCATAAAATGTGTATCTGAACATTGTTTTCTCGTGAACCACTTCAAAAATATCAAGAAAATCATTATGAAGATAAAATTGACTAATATTTTCATAGTCATGACATTCTATTAAGACAACACCCTTGAACTTTTGAGGTTTTCCCAAGCTTTTGAGTAGTTTCCGTGAAATTTCCATGGGAGATCAAACAACCCTTAGGCAGCTTTTTATATTTCTTATACCTAATATGATCAGTAACCACCTTAAAATTAGCTTTGAAATAGGAATTCATTGAAGGAACAACCTCTAAATAGTTAAATATATCATTTGTCTCGATCAAGTATTGTTCAAGCAATAAGACATTAATCTCAAAAGGAAACATTTCCAATATAGTAGTCATCTTTGATAAGTTGATCTCTTAGACCCCTTAGAGAGCTTTTATGGCTCATTGTCTACGTTTGACGGAGGAAGTGAACAATAGAATTCGCTCCTTATGTTGGTGATGTTGGTACTAGCACTCCCAAGCTTAGTAAGCTTTGATTTTGAATAAAGGTGCTGCCTTTAGATTGTAAAAGATTTTTTATTGTCTCCATTATTAACTCATTGCTATGGCATTGATAAGAGAGTATATTACCATGCTCTCTGACTAGTGGATTATTTGGCTTGTTTTGTGGACAAATACTATTACAAAACTACAAAATGCTATTTAAAAAATTTATTTAAAAGTCAATATTGGTGATATCAACCCATGGTTATAACGAGTTTTGAAATTAAAGCATTTAAATCAAACTCAATTTATCTAAAGTTAGCTATTTGATTCTGTTGATACTGTTATATATATATATATTACTGGCTGATTCTACAGATGAACTGATCAATAAACGGGATATTTATTCTTTTCTAAAGATCGTTTTGTCTTGTACCATTGTACCATGTAGTTTAATGACAATAGTATGTCATCTACAGTAAAATCAAGTCAAATCAGCAAAAAAAGAGTATAATCAACTATAAATGTATAGAAATTATGCATTTCTCTGTTTCATGCGTGATTACTATCCAGATCTTGTTCACCAATATTCACTAAAAACAACACATACCAACCATCATGTGTTGTTTTTGTATAAAATTTTCACATCAATATTTTGCAAACCTTTAGAAGGTGCAATCTCTATCCCTGTGGGTACCTGACAGTTCTTTATTTTGATTGATTTCAATTTGGGAAAGATTTTATTTTTAAATGTAATTCCGATTGATAGAATGTTGTAATTTTCAATGGTTAATTCTTTCAATCTTGGTGCCTTGACTAGTTTGAGCTCTAGTTTCTTAATGGGTTTCCCGTTATTGAACAATTCCAAAGTTTTCAGTCTTGGAAACACACACTTTGATAATATTATTGAACGTTCACACAATGAAAACTTTAAACTTTCAAGATTTTTGAAAACTGCATTATCAATAGTTAAAGGCTTAGGCCTTGGATATCCAATATCTTTATTATAAGATACAATTAGTTCAGAAAGTTCAGGGAAGTTTCGACTGATGTATCCATAAAAGTCGGGGGTACTGATCCTACATCCAAGGTTTAAGAACTTGAGATGTGGAGCATTGAATCTAAAGGGGGCAGTTTTTTCAGAAATTACTCCGTATTTACCATCACAATATCCGTCTATAGAAAGACTTTTCAACGAGGGAAATTGAGTAATGTTATCTGGTTCAAAAGATAGAGAAACACACTTAATTTCTAACAATTCTAATTCTTCTAGATTAACCATTTCCAACCCTCGTAAGATGTGTTTGTATCTTGTGACTGATCCCTTTTTAGCCATTCTTAGAAAAGACCAACTGTTGTTCATATATTTCCTCCTCTCTTCAACAGAATTGAACTTTGGAATTTGTTCCACATCAATTTCAAAATCCTCAAGATGGGTGATCTCTTCAAAATTCTCAATGATACAAGATTTTGCTAAAAGTGTAAACTTTTCTATATTTTGTGCCCTGAAGCCATCAATAATCACATTATCTTCTTCTGAAGAAATGGAAATTGTTCTTAATGAGTCTGCTGTGAAATTTTGGAAAATGGTATCCGTACTTGAGTTCCAGATTAATTCAATCTCTTTCAATTTCGGGAAGGTCAAATCAATCATTGAAATGGGGGTTTGATGCCTATGTCTTGAATCTTCAAGCCGTAAGTATTCTAAATTTTGAACCCATTGTGATTTGAAGAACCATGGTGATTCGAACCCCATGGAAGATGACATACATGAAGTTATCTCTAGGTTCTTAGGAAAAACAAATGATTTGGGGAATGTAAACTCGGCATGTAAATCCTCAAGAGATAAAGTTTCCAGGGCTTTACAATTCTCAATATTGAAGCAAAAGGTCTCACCGTATTCTTCGGACACACAATATTCAATATTCTTCAATTTTTGAAAATTGATCTCAAATTTTGGAGTTGGCAAATGATCGAATGGAGATAGTACCTCAACATCAGGGAAACTAATGTGAGATATTCTATGATTCAAATCTAAATCGAGAAAAACATCCAGTATCGATTGAGGAGAATAGGAGTAACACTCAACAAAATCGCCATAAAAGGTGTATCTGAATATTGTTTGTTCGTGAACCGCTTCAAAAATATTATCCACATCAAATTGATCATAGTCATGAAATTCCATTAAGACAATACCCTTGAACTTTTGAGGTTCTCTCAAAGCATTGCATAGCTGCTCAGAGTCTTCACAAGATATAATACAACCTTCTGGTAAGTTATCATATTTGCTATGATTGATTTTATCAGTAACCACCTTAAAATTAGCCTTGAAATGAGCGTTCATTGAAGGGACAACTTGCAAATAGTTCAATATATCATTTGTCTCAACCAAGTACTGTTCAAGGAATAAGACATTTATCTCAAAGGGGAACATCTCCAGTATATTTGACATCTTTGATGAGTTTGTTGATAAGTATATCCCTTAGAGCTCATCCATTGTTCATGTTTGAGAAGAAAATGAACAATAGAATTCGTTCTCTCACTTATTTGATTAGTAAGCGATGAATAATCTTGAGTAATATTGACATGAAACATATAACTTTCCAAAAGAAGTTGTAAGATACTTTTACTAGATTAATATCAATAGACTTACATGTTTAGTTTGTTAATTAATAAGCTACGTCATGTGGAATATATAGAAAAATAAAAACATGAAATATTCAAAACCATAGAACATAGACAAAGCCATGTAGCCATGTAAAACTAAACATTCATATTAATTGTATCATGATGATATTTCATGAAAGTATTTATAGTATTGTAGTTTTGAAAATATCAAAGTTCAACCAATAAACTATATTTATGAATATCTTTATAATATATTAAAATAAGCTGCCAACCTGCCAACCTAGGTTGAAAAATCGATGCAACACACAATTTTATAAATCCATTAAACAAAAATGTGGAGCAAATTTTAATGAAGTTGCAAAACAATTGAGCTATAATACAAGATCAACATCCTACTTTTACAAATAAGATCCACCCAAATAATAGAATCAGTACACATTCACGATGAAAAATATCCAAAGTTCTAACAACTAGTATGTTTGAAAATATTTTAAATGAGGCGCGCGAGAATCTGATTAGTCATATATTACAAAGCAGAATACCAAGTACGCGTATAATATATCTAAAATTACATTAATCAATAGATTTCTACAAATATCCAACCAGTGCAGGTTCAGTTTAATATGCAAGAAATATCATAATAATTAAAATATAAATAATCTTTTCTGATTTCAATTTGACAAAAAATCAATAAAAACTATATGCAAAATTTTGATCTAAAATCAAATAATCTATATATAAATAAACGTCATTAAGTTGAAAGTCCAGTTGTACTTCATACAACATCTTCATTTCTCTTTTTAGCATCATCAACAATTTTATCCCAATCACAATAATAGAAAACAGTTATAGCTTGTAATATAGAAATTGAAATTAATCCAGTTAATATACCAGACCAAAGTCCCCAAAGATTCCAATTAAATTTAAATGTTAAAATATAAGAAATTGGTAATCCAACAATATAAAATGAAAAAATATTTATCCATGATCCAATTTTTTGTAAACCTTGACCACGTAAACATCCAGCAGAACATGCATTTAAACAATCAACAATTTCATAAATAAACATAATTGGCATAATACCAACAATTCTTTCAATAACTTCTTGATCATTTGTGAAAAAACTTGTAATTTGATACCTGAAAATCCAAATTATTGTAGAATTAATTAATCCAATCCAAAAACCTAAATTCATTGATGCTTTACAACATTTTTTACCATTTTGTGTTAATGAAGCACCAATATAATTTGCAACTCTTGTTGCAGTAGCAATTGAAACACTAAAAGGAACTTGATAAGCCAATGCCACTATAGAACATGCCACGGATTGTGAAGCTAATTCTGTTGTACCTAGATTTGAAGCCATTATAGTGACAATTTCAAAACCAAGGAATTCAGCTTCAACCATAATAACACCAGGTAAAGCTAATTGAATCATTTTAGACCAATTTTGGAAAGTTTGTTCAAATTTAAAATCTTTTGGCCAACATCTCAAAGTTTCTTGATCATAAATTAATGTATAAAATAATAAACCTAATGGCATTAACCAATAATTTATTGTAATTGCAATTGGAGCACCAATATAACCTAATCCAAATTTCCAAACTAATGCCCAATTTAACAAGGCGTTTAATGGTGCACAAATTAATAATACATATGTTGAAGCATGGAAAATTCCTTGACATTGTAAAAATCTTTTCCCACATTCAAAAAAAATAAATCCTGGCATACCCCAACAAACCACTCTCAAGTAATTTGATGCAATTTTAATTAATTCTGGATCAGGTACTATAAAACTTAATAAAAATTCTGAACCAAATATCCATATAATCGAAATTGGTAAAAAACATGTAATAGCAAATATTGAACATCTTAGGAAATTTAATCCAACTAATTCAAATTTCCCAGCTCCAAAAGCCTGGGAACAAAGTGTATCCAAACAGGTTGTTAATCCTTGGATTGCAGCAAAACCTGTTATATTTGCAGTCATTGAACCCAAGGTAATCCCAGCTAATTCTGATTTTCCAATATGTCCCACAGAAAAAATTGACGCAAGGGAAAGAGAATTTTGTAAAAGAAAAGTAACTATAAGAGGAGCAGCACTCTTTGTTAAACTTCTTGTTTCTAAATTGAATGAAGTTTTCAATAAACCTGATTTTATTGCAGTTTCCCAAGTTTCTGGAATATCATCTGAATTTTGATCACTATTATATAAATCATTATTCCGTAGTAAATTACGTTCTTCTTCTAATAATTCTGTTGATTTTCTATTTATACTTTGATAATGATAAAGATTTTGATTATTTAATAATGATGATGATTCATTTTGTTGCTGTTGATCATCTTCATCAATTGTACTTGATGGACTATTTATGAAATCGTTTGGGGAATATAATGATGGTTTCCCTTGGGAAAATACTAAAGATGCTCTTCTTTGATCATTTGTATGTTTGAATTGATGATCAGACATTGTTTTAAATTAATCTTTTCTTTATGAAACCAAAGATAAACAATTCAAAGGAATAATCAGGCTTTTCAATTCTTTATGTATTTATTAAAATTTTTCTTTTTTTTCATTTTGGTTGTCACAGGCGTGCAATTACCGGAAATTGACACATTGATAAACGGCAGTGTGAAGTTGCCCAAAGGGGAAGTCTACAACCAGTCCAAATCGGGAAATGAAAGTGTAATCATAGATTCATTAAAACAATAGACTATAGTACTATAAATACAGTTTATCATCAATTAAAAATGCAATTTTTCTTGCTTTATGTTGATCAAATATTTCATAAGCCTTGGAAACTTGACTTAATGGTAATTTAACATCAATAAAACCATCAAATTTATATGCAACTTTTTGGAAAGTTTTAAATGATTCATCAAATATTGAACGAACTGGACAACGACCAAATTGTAATGAAATGTTTTTCAAATAACATTGTAATCCATCAAATGGTAAAGGTTCATGATGATAACCAATTGAACTTATAAATCCAGCAGAACGAACAGTATCAAATCCTAATTTTAAAGCTGAAGAATTACCAACTAATTCAAAAATAGCATCTGCACCTTTCCCATTAGTTTTATCCTTGATGAGTTGTGGAATATCTTTTTCATTATTCAGATTAATTGGAATTGCACCTAATTTTTCAGCTTCTTGTAATCTTGATTCAACAGAATCAACAACATAAAGATTTTGAACACCAATTTCTTTTGCAGCAGCAATACAACAAAGACCCACTGGACCAACACCTAATTGTAATATAACATCAGTTTTCAATTTTTCTTTATTAAATTGAATTTTTTTCAGATAATTATTAACACAAAGCCAACCAGTTGGGAAAATATCACACATTAATAAAGCAGTAAATCTATCAATATTTTTTGGTAATGGATACAAGACATTATCAGCATATGGAATTCTAACATATTCAGCTTGACCACCATCTAAAGCCCAAGTTCCAAACACTTTTGAATCAACACAAGAAGAACTTAAACCATCAATACAAGCCCAACATTCACCACATTGAGATGTAAATGTAGAAATAACTTCATCACCAACTTTGAAACTTGTAACTTGATCACCAATAGCAACCACAGTTCCATTAAATTCATGACCAGTTATATAACCATTTGATTTTGGTACAACATCACCTCTATACATATGTAATTCAGTACCACAAAGTGCAGTAGCTTTAACTTGAATTATAGCATCTTTTGGAGATTGTAATTTTGGAGTTGGAACATTTGAATATTGAATTTTTTTTGGTCCTTTGAAGACACTAGCTTTCATAGAAACAGGAGGCATGGTTGATGAACTAATGATTCAAAATATAAAAAAGGCATGCTAAAATCAAAGAAATCCATACTTTATATATAAATTGTACTCCGCGCGGCTATTTACTTGTTTGTGTCTCGGAATCCATATAAACAATAGCCATAATAGCAAATTGACTCAATTGAGATCGGAGTTTTAATTTGAAAGATTGTTTGGGGTGTGATTGATGACATTATTTATTTATTGTTATTGGTTGAATGTTGGTCATTGATTGTACATCAGTGGATATTACTTACCGCATTATCTTTGTTTCTCTTTGTTTCCTTTAGTTGATTATTTCATTCTCTTTGTGTTCATTGTTAATTTAAAATCCACCTTTAAATTTTTGTTTTTACCCCATAAAATGAAAATGAAAAGGATTTTGAGTGTACTTTCTGACATAATACTTGGTAGTGTGCTTAGTCATTATACTCACTTTAAATGTAAATAAGACTATAATAATACAATATAATCATTATTTAAAGTATATATAAATGTATTATAAAATATTTCCAATCATACCATCTACTTCACAATATACCATCTATTTAATAATTATTTACCTTCTCCCTAAGTAACCCAAAAATACAAATGGAGGAAAATGGAAAAATTGGAGTAAAAAAACTAAAATTGATTATGTAATTATTGTGTTATCGATTATATAATACGATATTTTTCAATGGTTACGCAGCCACTGGCCCTCTGGTAATTACATACTTATAAAAGTAAATTTCAACGGACTTTAGAATCTTTTAAACTTTTAAACTTTTTATTCATTTTATTCATTTTATTACAACAACTGTTTATATTATATTAGCAAAGTTATTATATCAACATGGCTAAAGTTCTTTGTTTACACGGTTTCTTACAAAATGGTAAAGTCTTTTCAGAAAAATCATCAGGTATTAGAAAATTATTGAAAAAATCAAATATTCAATTAGATTATATAGATGGTCCAATTATCTTAGAAAAAAAAGATTTACCTTTTGAAATTGATGATGATAAATGGAAAGAAATTTTAGATGCTGATTTAAATAAAGCTTGGTTTTATCATGATAATATCTCCAAGAATTTAGATTTAACTGAAGCTATCCAAACAGTGGTTAATCATATTAAAACTAATGGTCCATATGATGGTATTTTTGGGTTTAGTCAAGGTGCTGCTGTCACTGCGATTATAAATAACAAGATTAAAGAATTAATTCCTGAACATCCATATTTTAAATTTGCAATTACATTTTCTGGTTATTCATTTACAGAACCAAAACCAAATAATTCAGAAGAATTACAAATCACTGAAAAATTTCAAGATTCATTCACTGTTCCATCTGATCTAACTACAAAAAACATATTTGTCTATGGTGCTAATGATAATTCAGTTCCTGGTGTTAGATCTAAATTCTTAAGTAAATTATACCCACAAGATAATAAAATTGTATTTGAACATGATGGTGGTCATTTTGTTCCAAATAAAAAGGATTTCTTGAAACCAATTGTTGAGGAAATCACTAAAGCCATTGAAAACTAGTGAATTACCACTCCTTTATATAGATAATTGAATAGAATCTGTTAATAAATAATTGTAATTTAATGGTTATTTAGCTAAATATTCGCGAAAGTTGATCTCCCCCGTTTTTTTCCATTTCCGCGATTTTCCTTTCATTTTATCCACGTCAATAAAAAAAACACACTTTGAAATTTAACTAATAAACAAAAACACAATCAACCATTAAATTCACAGGTTATTCTTCAAGATGAACTTTGCTAAATTGGATGATGAGTCTCTCCCTAAAAGACTCGTCAGTCGTTTACCCAAACTACAAAACTTCAATAAAAATGATGAAGAATCAAATATAAATTTCATACCTTTACCTTCATCATCAACAACAACTTTAATAACTCCAAATTCAACAAATCATTCAAATGAACCATCTCCAAAACAATCCATCCAATTAAATACCCAAGAACAAGACCAAGGATTCATAATAAATAATGAACAACAACAAACAAAATGGTCAAAATTTCGAGCTATAATGATTAAATATTCAAAATTTATTGGACCTGGTTTAATGGTTTCAGTTTCTTATATGGATCCAGGAAATTATTCAACTGCAGTTGCCGCGGGGTCTGCACATAAATATAAACATTTATTTTCCATATTATTATCAAATATCCTTGCTGCTTTTTTACAAATTTTATGTGCAAAATTAGGTGCTGTTACTGGATTAGATTTAGCACAAAATTGTAGAGAACATTTATCACCCAAATTGAATTTATGTATTTATATCCTTGCTGAAATTGCTATTATTGCAACTGATTTAGCTGAAGTTATTGGTACGGCAATTTCATTAAATATTTTATTTGGTTTACCTTTAATTTTAGGTGTTGTTTTAACAATTGTTGATGTTTTGATTGTATTGATGTTTTATAAACCAAATGGTGATATGAAAATTATTAGAATTTTTGAAATGTTTGTTAGTTTATTAGTTGCGCTAACAGTGGTTTGTTTTACAATTGAATTAATTAATGTTGATTTTAAATTTAATGAAGTTATGACTGGGTTTTTACCAAGTCAAGATATTGTTAAAGGTGATGGATTATATCTAAGTTTAGCTATTTTGGGTGCAACTGTAATGCCTCATTCATTATATTTAGGTTCAGGTTTAGTTCAACCAAGATTAAGAGATTATGATGTTAAAAATGGGAATTATAAACCTGATGTTTTGGATGAATCTCATTTAAATTATAAACCTTCAATGGATGCTATTAATGATATAATGAATTATACAATAACTGAATTAATTGTTTCATTATTTACAGTTGCCCTTTTTGTGAATTCTGCAATTTTAATCGTTTCAGGTTCAACATTATCTGGAGAAACAAATACAGATTTATTTTCAATTTATGAATTATTATCAACAAATTTAAGTCATTTTGCTGGATTAATCTTTGTGCTTGCTCTATTATTTTCAGGTCAAAGTGCAGGTATTGTTTGTACATTATCTGGACAAATGATCTCTGAGGGGTTTTTACATTGGTCATTACCACCAACTTTAAGAAGATTATTAACTAGATCTGTGGCAATTGCTCCATGTTTTATACTTGTTCTTGTATCGGGTAGAAATGGTCTTAGTGGTGCATTAAATGCTTCACAAGTTATATTATCATTATTATTACCATTTGTTTCAGCTCCTTTAATTTATTTCACTGCTAAAAAGGAAATTATGAAGGTTAATTTAAATAATAATTGTTATAATGATCAACAAATTGATATTCCTTTAAATGATTTGAATGATGAACAATTAAATGATCAATTAGAGAATGATCCAATAATTGCTTATAAAGATATGAGTAATTCAAAATTAACAAATTTTATTGCTATAATAATTTGGTTATTTATAACTTGTTTGAATTTCTTTTTGATTGTTTCATTTTTAATGGGTAAAGATGTTAATTTTTAATCATTTTGACCTTTTCAGACAGTCATTATTATTATTGTACATTAGAGGGATATTTAAAATAGATATTATTGGTTTGTTATTTAAAATTTTTCATGGCATTATTATATCATATTACATTACATTGGGACGTGGGTTTTTCTTTTCATGATTTTCTTTTTTATATACATATATAAAAAAAAATATATAAGTTATTTGCATTTTATTCATATCTATAATTCTATATAATTGGTGGGGGATTTATTCATCTTTGAATTATATAACTTGAATCTGTTTTAGGACCTGATTTAGCTCTTCTTTCTTCAATCCATTCTTTATGTTTATTCAATTCTTTTGTGAATTCTTCATTTGTACCCTTTGTCCATCTATATTTAAAAGCTAAATGATCTGGTGGTACAAAAGTTTGACCTTTTTGTTTATAAGTATTTTCTCTGAATGTACCATTTGGTACTGGATAATCTAATTGTGCTAACCCTCTTTTTCTTAATTCTGGTAATAATAAATCAACTAAATCATCAAAAGTATTTGGATTAACACTACTTGCAAAATTAAATCCATTTAAACCTGAAATATTAACCCATTTTTCAATTTCATCTGCAACTTCTTCAATTGAACCAAGGAAAAGATCAGTTGATCCTTTAACTGAAACATGTCTTGCTAATCTGGATTTAGTTATTGGCTGATCATATCCCAGGTATGTACAAAATGATTTAACAATATTTTTAGTTGTTTGATCTTCAATTGTTAGCAGATCAACTTCATCATCATATTTATTGAAATCAATACCAACCCAACCACCAAGTAATGCTAATGCCCCTTCAGGGTCTGCTTGATTTGCATATGATTCATACTTAGCAACAGCTTCTTCATGTGTCTTTCCTACAATTACCATTGCTAAAGTTATAAATTTTAATGATGAAGGATTACGATCATATTTTAAAGCTGTTTGTTTAATATTATCAATTTTAGATTTAAGAATCTCTGGAGATCCACCATTAAGAAATACAACTTCTGCATGTTTAGAAGCCAATTCAATCCCACCAGGTGATGAACCTGCTTGAAATAACAAAGGAATACTTTGTGGTGATGGTTCAGTATAACCTGGACCTGGAATATCATAATAATCACCTTTAAAATTAATTTCACGAACTAATGAAGGTTCAGCATATGTATGGGTCTTTGGATCAGCTTTAATAGAATCAATTCTCCAACTTGATAGTAATAATTCATAAACTGCTAAGACATATTCTTCGGTTTTTCTATAACGTTCTAATCTTTCAGGTAATTCTTGACCAGATAATAAATTTCTTGCAGCACTTTCTAAATAACTTGAAACTATATTCCAACCAATTCTACCATCAGTTAAATGATCTAACGATGCTAATCTTCTTGCAAAATGATATGGATGTTCACTAATAGTACTGAAAGTTATACCAAACCCTAAAGATTGAGTAACACTAGCCATTGCAGTTATTGGAGCACTTGGATCAATACCAGGAGTTTGAACACCAGCTTTTATTGGTATACCGAAATTTTTAGGACCTTTATAAACATCATAAGGACCAAGAACATCAGCTATGAATATTGAATTTATCTTTGCAGCTTCTGCCTTTCTAGCTAAGTCTGTCCAATAGTTTAATTTTTTATAGTTTGAAGAAATATCACCTGGATAACTCCATAATCCTGATGGTTGAGTGTTTACTGTACCTTGTTGGAAAAAGTTTATTATTAATGGTTCTCTTGTTTTCTGTTTCTTGGTTGATGGTTCTTCTGACATTGTTGTAGCTTGATTCTATGATGATAATGGTAATATAGGTATCAAAATAACGATTTTGTAAAGTTTAAATATTAATTGTACCTTCGATAATAATCGTGTCAAAGCTCGAGATCGATTAGGAATTGTGGCTCATGAACATCGTTTTAGCACCTGATGATCCTGAAAAAAACATACGATACGTTGATTTTGGTTGATCTTTTGAGCTACAATCGTTTGGAAGTTCCATCTTGGGCTATTGAGAGTTATAGTTCTTTCAACCTTGTACAAGTTGGGAAGATTTGGAAAGATTTGAAAAGATTATATTTGGCCTTCTGAAATTTTTTGAATCCCGAGCCGACTTGATAAAGTATGGCCGACTATACCCGAAACGTTATAACGATTAAGTTACTGATATCTAAATATTGTAGAATCTTAATTTATAATACATTTATATATATATTAATTATACATCTATGGTTATATCGATGATCTATTCATTTAACTAAATCTTGTTCTAATTTATTTAAAACAGATAATCCAGGTAAATATTCTTCCCATTTATTCTTTGCATCAATTTTCTCAACATCATTCCAATTAAATTTTTCAGTTAAAAATTCATGGAAATTTATAAATTTATCTTGTTTTAAACATTCATTTGACCAATGAGCTTTATAGGCACCACCAACAGCACATGAATTTGCATTATCAGATCTATAATTCCCTTCTATTGGACCTAAAACTTCACTAATTTTATTAACTATAGATTTATTTGCACTTGCACCACCAACATAAAAAACTTTTGTAGGTCTTTGATTTAATGATTCTGCCTTAATTATCTTTTCATCAAGTTCTAAATCATGTAACCCTGGTTTCAATTCATCATCTTTAACACTCAACATTGGACTTGCTCTTGCTCTACAACTTAATGCTTGAGATTCCACAATTGATGGAACATCTAATTCAACATCCCAAGGTTTATCAACAATTTCAATATTACCAGTTTTAAAATCATATTTTGCTCTAATTGTTTGAGCTTTTGCATTTGGAACAATTTCACCAAGTGGGAAATAACAACCTAAATCACCATTAAAATTTTGAGATTTATCTAATAATTCATTAAATAATGACCAATCTCCAGATTCTTTACCATGTTTCTTATTTAATTCATCACGAACTTTTTCACGAGCTAAAGCACCATTACAATAACAAATCATACCCATATAAGCATCTGGAATGGTTGGATGAATAAATAAATGATAATTTGAAGATGGTATATATGATTTAGTAACAAGTAATACCGTGGTGGAAGTACCTAATGAAACTAAAAATTCATCTTGATTTAATGGCAATGCCAAAATAGTGGCTAGATTATCACCAGTAAATGGGAAAATTTGACAATTTGGATTAAATCCATATTTCTTGATATAATAGGGTGAAATTGAACCTAATGAATTATAACCAATCTTCACAACATCACCAATTTTAGATTTTAATTCATTTATTGCCTTAGATCTTATTGATTCATCTTTTATACCATCTTTTTCATGTGTTATAGTACAAATAGATAATAATTCATCATTCCATTGTTTTTTTTCAATATCATAAAGATTCATACCACAAGCTTCAGCTTCCTCAGTATTTGAAACTTTACCAATTAACAAACTTGCAAGGAAACTGGAAACTAATGTAATTCTTTTGGTATTATGATAAATATCGTCATGTTCTTTAACAATTTTTCTAATTTGTGGACCTGTAAATCTATAATGGGCTCTTGAACCTGTAATTTTAGCTAAATTTTCAGCACCACCAATAAAAGATTCAAATTTTGAAATTTCTTCACCTGTACTATGATCTTGCCAATTTGGTGAAGTTTCTAAAGTAAATGCTTTTGGTGAGATTTGATCAACAAGTTTCTCTTGGGGATTTAAAGATTCTAGGATTACATCAGCATCACCAGACCAATAAACTGAACCATGTTGTTGACCAGATCCTGAAATACCAGCAACTTTATCAAAAGGGAATTGATCTTGTGCCATATTTGCTAAGATGACATCTAATGCTTCGATCCACATTTTCACTGGAGCATAAATTTCCCCAGTTGATTCATTTGAATAAACACCTTTATTTGTTTTATAATGAGGTAAATCTTTATCAAATTCAATCTTATAAGTTGAATGAAGGGATAAATCTTCCCTTGTGACTAGTAGTTTCAATTGCTGGGTGGAAAGATCGAACCCAAAGTATAAATTTGACATTCTATATTGATCTATTGTTCTATTGTTCTATAGTTACTCTCTAGTATATTGAACTTTAAGTATGAAACAATAAACACGTCGAGTATAAAACAATTAGCTTATTAAATTTCCAAAACTTTCTCCAGAATTTGCAACGCGCAACAAATTTTGCTGGAAAGAAAAAATTACGTCAGATGATATTACTACAAATGAAAACAATAATACGCTTTTTATATGCTAAAAATAAATTATTTTATTATAATTGTGATTATAGAATTGAAATTGTGTTAATGAGATGGTTATTATGGTGTTTTTGGTTGTCAAAATTGGTGAAATTTGGTGTAATTTTGAGCGAAAACCAGCAAAATAGATCTCATAATTATCAAATTGTTGATAACTAAAATATGGTTGGAATCAATTAGATCTTAATAGCATTATCATCATATTGGAATCCTTCCCATTACTTAATTTCCAATCTTTGGGGAATACCATTCAATATTTTCAGTATTATAACCAGGATATGGAGGAATAACAATTCCTAACGTTACTAAAATTGTTAACCCACTGAAAACTAATAAAACTTTGATATCTTGAGCGACAAAACCAGCTAAACTTGATAATATAGCACCAACAATCAATAGTTTATAACTTATATCTTCTGTAAATTTTTGAGATTTGAAATCAATTGGTCCATCAAGGACACCTCTTATAGTATCTAATAATTCATCCATGGTTAGTTGTGTGTGTTTTGGGGGTAATTTGATACCGTAGTTTTCAATAAGCAGCACTAAAACAGCTCAAAATGGATCCTTTGTTGAGTTTCAATTATAAGATTGTTGTTGTATTTGAGAAATCTTGACACGTTAAAGGCTGAGATTTAATAAAAAATCAAAATCTACAAATCGGTTCGGGGACTACTAGTATAACCAAATAATTCAAATAAATCATCTATTTACAAATGAATTTCTATACATATATGGATTATAATGCCTTAATAGCATTCAAAACTTCTTGTTTTAGTAAATTCTTGATTTTTATATCATCCTCTTCACCTAAAATTTCACCATATCTTTTAAAAATAGCTTTTATTCTATTTTTACTAGTTTCAGTTTCTAAAATATTATTCATAATTGCACCATCATGAATCAAATATGCAAATTCACGATCTTGTTGTGATAAATTGGCCAAAACAAGAGTTTCAGTTAAAAGTCCTGCTAATGAAACACCTTGATCATTAGGGGTCTTATTTGATTGTGCAATATTATTATTGAAGATCTCTAATGATTTAGATAAATCAAATGATGAATATCCCAAGATTAATGCTCTTAGTGAATTTATAGTCATTGGTTGTGGTAATAATGTTTCTGCTATAATTAATTGATTTAAATCATTTTGAGAAATGGATAAGTATGATGAAATTATAACCATTGTAGACATGATTTTATCAACATTTTGTTTATCTAATGAGATAAATTCATGATATAAATAAAGTGCTTTTTTGTGATCTAATTTATTTATACCATATGCTTTTAAAATTGATAATCTTAATGGAGTATATCTGGATTCTGGATTGGTCAATATTTTTGAATTTTCTAAAATTTTAACCAATTGATCGAAAAGTTGATTTGTTAATTGAGGTTCAGATTTTGTTGTTGAGCTCTTAATTGATAATGAAGGAAATTTAGTTGAGATGGATTCAAATTGTGTTTTGGACTCATTATCTAATTCAAAATTGAAAGCTTGTTCTTCACTTAATTTCATAACTAATTTATTTATACGATCTAAGTTTTCATCAATTTGAGATTTATCAAAAGTTTCAGGATTCCATATACTCCATAATTTAACAAATTGAGATGTGTTTGGATTCAATTCATGGATCAATTCTAATGAATCAATACCAATAATGTTTATTAAATCAAATTTTTCCATTTCAAGACATTTTTGTAATAATTGTAATTTTAAGTCTTTAGGTTGTTGTTCCAAATTTTGTAAGATAGCTATACTTTTCAATAATTTATGCTCATTGATTTGATACCCATCTTCAATTTCACTTGAATCACCATAAACTAATTTTGTTAATACACTGGTTAATAAATCTTCATTTTTTATAGCGTTTGGATTAATTTTAGTAATATAATTTTCAAATATTTCCCATGATGATTCTACTCTACCTGAATTATATTTAATGATTTCCACCATTGAATCAATATCAACAGAACCATTTAATTCCCTAATGGCTCTTTGATGAATCATTGATAATGATTGATCAAATTTTAATAAATTTTTCAAAATTAAGTTATGTAATTCAATTTTATTAGATGAAGTTATATTTGAATCTGATTTGGCAAAATTGATTATTTCATCCACAATTTCTAGTTCTTCTCCATTTTTAATATTCTCATGGTTTAATAATTCAGAATAAACATTTGATGGAATTTTACCATTAGATGATTCTTTTATACTCAAGAATTTTTCACGAACTGAGGACCCAAGACTTCTGGAAAATTTTAGTCTGTTGAGTACCAGACCGTTACGCCTTATCAAATGGCTTTTCAACATCTGACTGTGTCTTAACATAGTTCCTTGTATGGTATGTAATCACGCTGGTTGACTTGACGATGAGTAATACTTTATATGATTTAGATGATGATCGATGGTAACTATAATTAATTTATTTTTCATGATTATGTAATCTTTAAAAGTTAGTGGTTGTGAGCCCCTGCTTGACATAGTATTATAAGTTAATCAGATGGTTTACTTGGGTTATTCTGAAATTTGTTACTCCAATTGTGCTTGATTTGTTGTTTAACTTGGACTATGATAGTCTTTAATAGTACAAAGAAACTACCTGAAGATAATTATGACATAATATTACACTCATGCGTAATAATTCTATTGTTAAATATAATTGATCAATTTCTACAACTGATTAATATTTAAATTTTATTTAACAGTGTATTATTATAACTATACACCATTAACGAGAAGCTAATTTTTTTTGTATGAACTATACTAATAG